CCCACAAAACGCTGCAAATCGCATGTCCGAGAGTCTGGATTTCAAAATTTCTCGGGGGGATGCCCCCCAACCTCCTAGGGGCTCCCGGCTTCGGCGTTTGGCTTCCATTTTATTACATTATTTTAACAATTCACCCCCCACTTCAAAGTCCTGGATCCGCGCCTGAATTTCTTATGAAAATATTACCCTGTCTAAGACACAAAAAAATATATCGGTCTTTTATCTAAATTGTAGACCCTGTTTAAGACAATTTCGGGTGAAATGTATACCCTGTTTAAGACAGCAAGGCCAAAAACCATACCCTGGCCAGCGGCACGTCCCCGTATAGCAAATATATGGGAGTGCCCCTCCCGGGCGCATTAGTTGTTTGTACTGCATTTATAAAGTTACTCAGTTCAGAACGGATCTCAAGGTATCAACACGAGTTTTTTTATGCTAACCTGTAAGTCGCTAAACAGAATCAAGACAGAGAATTAAATCGGTAGAACACGCCACAGAAGTAAGTAATGCATGTAATTTCTATGTAATTGTTAGATAAATATAAAAAAAATGTAAGTTAATAGTAAATGTATAATGATTGTAACTTCAGATCGAATAGACACGAGTCTACGAAATCTAAGTTTGGACTATTCTATACGGTTCGTGGAAAATCTACCATTTAATCAAGCCACCATTGCATTCGATTTCTTGTTGAAAAGAACAAAAAGACAAAGGAATGAGAGGACAATGGAAAAGTTACTAAATCAAGCCACCAATACGCCCGGGGGGGACTCCCTAATATCAAAGGGCGGGGGTCCTCGGCGTCCCTTTTAGGGTTTGAAATCGGTATTTTGGTCCCGCTTAGGGTGATAATGACGAGAATTCCCACCAACTGAGTTTTGTGGTCCCTTTTAGGGTATATGACGTCCCTAAGCCGTCATTATGAGATCAAAAACCACAGCTGCTAATTAGATGATTGATTTTATTTTAATCAATTTCACGTCTTGTCACTTAACACTCCTTAATAGACGAGATTATTGGTCCCTTTTAGGGATGAAATTTCAGCACTGCCACGCCCATCATCTCCAAATACAGGTCCCTCTTAGGGGTCATTTTCATAATTTCCGCCGAGGACCCCCGCCCTTTGATATTAGGGAGTCCCCCCCCCGGGATTCATATAAGCGAAGACACATTGTTATTGATGCAAATAACTGAAATAAGCATACAATAACGCCAACTTAGTATCGAGAGATGGAAGGATCATATAGGCAGGCATAATTTAGGTGCAATATATTCTACATTTTTCTGATGAAGAAAAATAGAGTTCGTTGTCTTGATTCATTTTTCGATAAAAGAATGGCTACCGATGGCCTGGGGGTTAGAAGAATACTACAAGATTGAGGGATTTTCGCAGTTTGATTACGTACCTAACCCACAGCTTCTACAGTTTTCAGTGCTTTGGCTGTTTCCTGCACATGGTTTACCTCTACCTCTGCGTGGAGGGTTATCACACCTGCGTGTTCTTGTACGAATTCCTGAACCACATATCACACTGCATCGACTCCATGGAGACCATTGTCCCCAATTACCATCGACAGCGCTACTATGGCCAGAAGCAGGGCGCCTGTGACGACTGTAATCACTACTACGCCTACGGCTAGAAGCAGCGCTCCTGAAACCACTACTACCGCCAGAAGGAGCGCTACTACCACCACTACTACCGCCAGAAGGAGCGCCACTACTACCGCGACCAATAGGCTGTACTCCTTTCATAGGCATAAGTGGAGAATAAAAGAAAATAAGGAAGGAATGAAGTCAAATGTGGTATAAGATATCAACATATAAGCATAGCAATAAGCACAAGACAAAAAATAAGATAATAAAGATAAAAGAACAAAAACAAACAAACAAAC